TATCTCGGAGGTCGGCGGTTTTCGCTTCCACGACCACAACCGCGTTGCACTTGTACTTATATAGGGATACGCTACTTTACTCTTCGCGGTTGACGTGCTCGCAAAATTTATACGGGCTTGCCTGTTAATTAACGTCAATGAAACGACCGGGTCGCGGCATTTCGATAAAAAAGTGCTGATCGATAAAGAACGGCTACGGACTATGTGAAATACAAAAATTATTGATGATTTCTGGTGTTTTTTTGTGTTTGTTCCGAAGAATATATATTTTTTTCTTTCGATGAAAAAAATTGTGAATTATAGTAAATATTATTTGAAAATTAGTTATTTTTCTCTAGTGATTTTTTTATCTTCAAAAACAATTTAACATCTAGTGAAATATATTTTCGTTTTTTAATAAGTATTTATATTGACCTCATAAATGCGTCAATGTTCACCTGATTTCCGTTCTCGTGCTATTAATATTCGTGAGGTGAGTATGGCGTGTTTCATTTGACGATATACTGTCTTAAGTATTACTCGAAATTAATTTTATTAAATATTAATATTCATAACACGATTCTAATATCCTTCCTTTAAAAAAAATGTGTGCTACAACGATCAAGTTTTACCAAGTCGATCAAGTTTTACCAAGTCGAAGCATCAATTTTATTCGTGATAATATTCGCGAAGCCAAAATTTCATTCTATTAATAAAAAATATATAACGCATTGAAAAAAGAATAATTTTAATACCTTAAATCACATTTTCATAAATTCGATTTTATTTAACGATTGGAAACAAAAAAGAAGCAATTTCAAATTCTTCCGTTTCTTATCACATTCCACGAGCGAGCGACCTATCCACCAGACAGAGGAGGTGCGAGAGATTGAAAGAGCGATTGCGATTCGAAGCGTCTGCGTGACACGGTGTCTCATTATTTGCGACTGAAGGAGGAGGAATCAGTTGTCGGGACACGTATTAGCCGCCGTACGTGGCGACATCCGCTAATCAAATACAAGTGTTCGTCAGCAGTCCCGTATTATAGAGACGTAGACGTAGCGAAGTCTGTTTCCGAGCTCTGATAGCCGCGATAAATACGCGTTTAAGCGCTCTATAATTGTTGTCGCGTGCGTTGCATTTTTAAACTTTGCCGCCATTCGTTGCCCTATCCAAGGAACCGACAAAACACGACTTTTCACGAAGATAGTCGAATCTTTTTGTTTCGTATTTCGATACAAATATCGATATAAGGATTGAAGAAGAAAGCTGTAAAAAATTTCTTTTGCGACAAGTGATTGTTTTTCTTCACAATTTTAATCTTTTTTTCAAAATATTTAATAGCAAGTAACGAATTATTTATACACTGAATAAATTCACGTTTGCACTTGTTTTCGGTTAATTGATACATTCAAATCCACCTGAATAGAGGTATGTTTTTAGAAGTCTGAAATTACATTTGATTAACGTTTGTGAATTTGTTCGATTCTTTTGAATGTTGAAAGATATTTATTTTAAAGAAATTTTAAAGACAAACGATGGTCATTAAAAATTCCCTAGGCGCGTATAGTTTCGTAGGAAAAGGATATGATTGGTCGACACAGAGAATATACAACCAAGCTGACCGATCATGGGCCATGGATGGTCGTTGGGTCGGTTGAGCAGACCGTTGTAACAGTATCTCACGTGCCATAGAGATCCCATAACCGGCTGCGCGTAAAAAAATACGCTTCGGTGCAATCGGTCAGTTGGGATGCAACCGAAGCGAAGAGCATAGTCGAGCAACTGTGAAAATAAGTGTATAATTTCTCTCTCACATTCTTAATTCAAAGTTTCTTTTAAAGAATTATAATGAATTATAATTTTAAAGTAAATTAATTTTTTCGATAATTTTTACGATATTTCTTCAAATGAAGGTACAAAATAAAATTTAATTAATAAAAATTTATTAAATTTATTTATTAAAAATAGAAATAAGTAACAATTATTCGATATTCATTAAAATTTTTGGATTTGATGACAAGATGAATTTAATAATTTTCTAAACGTCTTGTCTAATAAAAATTCCTTAAAAAAAAAAACTAAACTAATACTATTTCTACTACTTGAAAACTGCATCTCGATAAAAAATTCTTGGATTTCAAAAGAAAATTATCTTCTAAAATTATTTCTGCTTTTTATTCAAATAAACCAAGATCCAACCATATTATTGATTGAAAATTGCAACTTTGACAGATGTTGGAAAATTCTAAAATGGGCTCCAAAAGAAAAGCAAAGGATTTGGGAAAAGTATCGGTCCTAAACTCAAGAAAAAGAAAAAGAAGAAGGAGGCGAAGGAGGAGAAAAGAAATGGAGGGAGGACCCATAGCAGCTGGTCAAACAACTCTGAAGCCACTCGGGGCCCGGATCTTCCAGAGATCCTCGGTTGCACGTACGAGGTTACACGCGAGGAGCCCCTCCTCGTCCTCGCGCACGACCTCGAAGTTTTAATTACTCGCCAGGGTATCATCCCCCTGCCAGGCCTCGTACGAGGTCATCGTACGAAGATCGCCTCTAAGAAATCGGGGGACGAGGATGGGGAGACATGTCCCGATTCCTCCGCCTCGGGGAAGGAACACGATGATAGCTTGTTCAAATTGCCAGTCTTTTCCTTTTTTTCTTTTTTTTTTTTTTAATCCTTGTTGTCTGATTATTGAAACCTTGATCCTCTTCCTCCGGGGGAAGTTGTTCTTTTTTCTTTTTATTTTCGTTTTTTGTTTTTTTTTTTTTTAATAAGAATGGAATAATTTTTGATTCATAGTCAGAATTATTATGTGTTACAAGTGAAAGATTCGTACATTTCGAAAAAATTGTTTCGAATTTTACCTTTTTTTACCAAAAGAAAAAACCTTCAGATTTCGAGTTTTCTCCTTCAAAGAAAAATAGAAAGAGATTAATCGTCGATCCAAAAATTCATCAATTCCTGAAATTCTCTCTTCTTTATATATAATGATAAAAAAAAGGAAAGGGGAAAAAAAAGGAAACGTGCAAACGAGCACCGCTTGCTGTTTGCAAATGAAACACGCCCACGATCTTCTCAGGGCATGCGTGCTTAGCCGCGTAAACGTGTGACTCGCGGTTGATCTAAACGATCGTGAATCACCGACCCACCTTGGGGGTTGCAGAGAACACGGAGAACGTCCAGGTATCGTAATTTCTCCCTTCGTTTCATATATTACGTGAAACGATGCTCGAGCCGTAGATCCGTGTATTTTTTCTCGTCTCACGTAATTTCCAAGTTAAATAGAAATTCTATTGTATTTGTCTACATAATATTCATTTCTTGATACAAAAAGAATAATATAAAATAATTCAATTAATTGACCAATTAATTATTATTGAAGATTATTTTATTGTATACGATTATTTTATTGTATACAAAATTCCCTATATTTATATATAAAATTCCCTATACATTACTTTGTACAAATCAAAATAGTATAATAACATCAAAAGAAAAAATATTCGTATCACTGTGAATTGTACTTTCATTTGTAACTCTGTAATTGTGTTACTACTGAACCAAAACTTTATAGGGCACCACTGTTGGCCAGATGGAGAGGAAGAGAGACCATGATACAAAGATGGAAGCTTAATATAATACCAACATTCAAAAATTAAATAAATAAAATTCATTCCCTATACATTACTTTGTCCAATGTACAAGTCAAAATAGTATAACAACAAAAGAAAAAATATTTGTATCACTGTGAATTGTACTTTCATTTGTAACTCTGTAATTGTGTTACTACTGAACCAAAACTTTATAGGGCACCACTGTTGGCCAGATGGAGAAGAGAGACCATGATACAAAGATGGAAGCTTAATATAATAATACCAACGAAAAATCGTATCATTGTGAATTGCACTTTGAATGATAAATAGTTAAGCAAGTCTAAGGAAGAGGAAAACTCTTATTCAATTATTACAACATTGGATACAAAAATTTATGCACGAGGATGAAAGATCGATCTATAGGGCGAAATTGTAGCTAGAAGAAGAGAGAATAACAGGGTAGAGTATCGAATGCAACCGAGTTTGATGGTGGCGGTATTGGTAGGCGGATGACGAGAGTAGTGGTGGTGATAGTGGTGGTGGTGGGCCGTCACGCCACATAGTGTGATAGCGACGCATTAAACGGCCAACCCTGCACCCTTGGCCCAACCTACAAGCTCGAGTCCCGGAACCTGTGAGATTCGAGATCGAGATTGAACTCTACCAGGGATTCAGAGGATCTCTGGTCGCACAGAGGAGCTTGACTGATTCGTTTCACCTCCTCCTTTTTTTTTTATTTCTCGTGACACTTTATGATGAATAATTGAACTCTGTTAACTTTGAATCAGGAAGATAAAATCTGTATGGAACAGAGAGCTTTTCTTTTGAAAATTTGAAAGAATAAATATCATCTTCTAATGTTCTAAATTAAGATTTTTTTGTTCAATAATTTCTTTTAAACTTTTAAACATAGCAGGTATCCTTTTGTTTATCATAAAATTAAAAATTTCTTATTCTTCTTTTGAAATAATTTTCAGATCCAATAAAATCTCCATTATTCATTTATTTGCCATATTTTCAATTTACATTCTCAGAATTAAAACCAAGTGAAAATTGAATAATTTAACAACAAACATTGGATATATTTTTGTACACAAGGATTTTAACAAAGGTTAAAAGGATTAATTTTAAAATGTGCATCCATTATTTATCGTATTTAAACACCCTCAGGTACTCTTAAACTATCCTTTTCTTACTTGCCATAAAGTTAACAATATCTTATCCATCCTTTCAAATAATTTTCAGATCCAATTTTAAATCTCCATCATTCTCCATATATTTACTATCTATCTTCACAGATTTACAATCTCACAGATGATTACTGAAAACCAAATCAAAATTGAATAATTTAACAACAAAGGTTGAAAGGATTAATTTTAAAATGTGCATCTCCATTATTATCATATTTACACACTTATCATATTAAACACTCTCAGGTACTCTTAAATTATCCTTTTCTTACTTGCCATAAAGTTAACAATTTCTTATCCATCCTTTCAAATAATTTTCAGATCCAATTTTAAATCTCCATCATTTGCCATATATATCTATCTTCACAGATGATTTGCAATCTCACAAATGATTATTGAAAATCAAATCAAAATTAAATAATTTAACAACAAAGGTTGAAAGGATTAATTTTAAAATGTGCACCTTCACCATTATTTATCATATTTAAACACTCTCAGGTACTTTTAAACTATCCTTTTCTTATTTGCCATAAAATTAACAATTTCTTACCCATTCTTTCATATAAATAATTTTCAGATCCAATTTTAAATCTCCATCATTTGCCATATATGTCTATCTTCACAGATGATTTGCAATCTCACAAATGATTACTGAAAACCAAATTAAAATTGAATAATTTAACAATAAAGATTAAAAGGATTAATTTTAAAATATGCATCTCTATTATTTAAACATCCTCAGGTACTCTTAAATTATTGTTTTCTTACTTACCATAAAATTAACAATTTCTTATCCATCCTTTCAAATAATTTTCAGATCCAATTTTAAATCTCCCTCATTCGCCATATATTTATCATCCATCTTCAATTTGCAATCTCACAGATGATTACTGAAAATCAAATCAAAATTGAATAATTTAACAACAAACAATTGGATATATTTTCGGATACGCAAGGATTTGAACGACGGTTAAAAGGATTAATTTTAAAATACCGTGTGTGCTGGTCTTTTATCCGCGAGAAAGCATGGAAGTCGTCGCTTGGCGTGCTAACACCCTCGCAGGGCGCGGCTCAATCAATTATTGTGGCGAGGGTGCGGTCGTCCCTGCGCGAGTTCCAGCCCCTGGCATGGCAACAACCCTATGGCGAATCTCTCTCTCTCTCGTTCCTTTTCTTCTTTTCCACATTAAGTTCCACCTTTTAAAGATGGAAACTCGAGAATTGAAAAGGAACGACGATTAACCGTACAATTACAAAGCTCTTCTCTTTCTTCTTTTTCTTTTTTATAATATCTGTCTATCCTGATTCTTGTTACAACGAGTAACCAGTTGATCGATTTTGTCTTCCCTTGGCAAAGTTTCAAACTATCGATCATGGTTGTTAACCCTCGAGCCTCAGGTAATTATTATTTTAACGTGTAAGCCTTCTTTTTTTTTTTTTTTTTTATAATAAGGTAGTACTTTAATACCATACTTTTTTCCTATATTTAACGGGAGGTATTTATTTAAGATCCCCTGCACGAATTAAATTTTTAACCAAATTGGCTGCTTTGATCTTCCTCGTGGTTTTATTTAAAAAAAAAAAATTGCAAGGTCAATTATCCTCAATTTCTTCCTTTTATTCTTGAGAAATATTTTACAACTTATTGCAATTTCCTTGTTGGCGACAATTTGAAATTTGTATATTTTGGTGCAAAGAATATCAATGTATGTATTTATGAAGTTGAGATATTAATATTTAAAGAGGTATATATATATTTATATATTTAACTATAATAATAATCACATGATTATTTTATTTAATTATTTTATTTAATTTTTGCAAATTTATTCTTGAAAGAAATCAATTGAGTTTGTATAAATCAGTTATATATATAATTTTTTTTAAGAATAAATTTGTAAAAATGTTATTGTTGTTATTAATTGAATTTAAAATAGATATGCTATTTCCAAGTGTCACGGTTAAATTAAGATGCGAATGGGGTGGTGGAGGATCGAGGATCGAGGATCGGGATTCTTCCTCGATCGATTATTTTTACTCCAGATTGGCGGTGGGCATCGCTTCCTCGTAGCCAGTCGTCGATGCGAGACGTAAGTTTATTTATGCGTCATCGGTGTTAACACGATTTCCACGGGCCTGTGTCGTACGAATAAGAGGAAGGAGAAGGAGAAGAAGAAAAGAAGAAAAAAAAAATCACTTTAAAATACGAGACAAATGATGTCTTTTTACCCTGCGCGAGGAAGGGAGCGCAGCGATTTATTTGCGTTGTTCCGAGAACCCACCACGACGTGGCATACTTTCGTAATCTCTTTTTTTACGACTCTTTAACGATTTTTTAATCATTTCTTTTTTTTTTTTTTTATTTATTTCCTCTAACAATCTTTTTTTCCCCACTTCGCCATTTTTTCAATCATCTTCGTCCCATTTCTCGAGAGAGAAGACGAGTTTAATTGATTTTGAAAAAGATTAAGATTAAATTTCAATACAGATGTCTCTAAGCTAAGAGAATATTAGAAAGAAAGTTTATTTTTTAATCTCGAGAATTTTATTCTCAAATATATGAACGTAGATATATATACTAAAAATAAAATTTTTGCAGATTATTCTCGAGAGTAGGAAGCTAAATAATCGCTCATAATGTTTACTTGCGAAAAATATTCGTGAGAGCAACTCTCGAACTGTCACTCTTCATTAATAGATATTATATTAATTTAGATAAAAATAGATATTAAATAGATATTATATTAATAGATATTATATTAATATAATAGATATTATATTAATAGTAAAAGTTATTCTCGAATAATCAGAACGTAATATCCACTTGCAAAAAATATTCGTGGAAGTGAATACTGTATTAAAAATTATTCTCATGCAATAAAAGTTATTCTTCATCCAGTGGACACTGGAATAAAAATTGACAACTCTATGTATAAAAAATATTCACAAGTGTAATTTTCAATAAAGAATAAAATTATTGTATCCATAAATACTTTTACTACGTTAAAAAAGGTACACTCTCGTGAAAAAAAAAAATATTCGTGAAAGCAAGAAAATTATTCTCACAAACTCGGTGTCCGTTTACAAAAAAAAAAAAAAAAAAAAATTCTCAAGAATGATTCACGAGAATTTGAAACGGTATTCTATTATAACGGCCGAGTTTAAAGTTTCACACGAATCGGATAAATTGGTCGAGGTAAATGTCGACAATGGATGTCACGAGGAGGGGGGAGGGGGAGGGGGCGCAAAAAGCGAAACGAAGAATCGCTCTTCTTCTTGCCGGCCTGGTCCTCGTCGGATGATACAGTGCAAGGGACACCGGGATCGGGTCCCTGACGACGCCACGTCTAAATATATCCACTCCGTGACACTTGTTTCATGTAAATCAAGCCCGTGGACGAGACGAAAAACCGAGACGATGCTGGAGGAAACGGCCTCGAGATATTCGAATTCGTCACGAGAATCCAGCCGAGATACATACATACATATTTCTTCAAATTCGATTTTGTAATCTTTCCATGTAGCAGAGGACACGACAGTTGAAATTCGCCTATTAAATTTTATCGTTCCATTTTAGAAATTTAATTCGTTCTGACCCTTCATTCTAGATCATTTTATCATTGCTACGATTTCGTAAAGAGATAATTTGTGCGGAGAAAAAAATCAAATTTTAAACCAACGTCGAAATATTTCTTACTTCAATTTAACTTTTTCTTTTTTTTTTCTCGGTAAAACTTATATATATCTATTTCAAATTTTATATACATCAACTCTCCCTTATCATCTCTCTTTTTTTTTTTATTGGAAAAATTGATATTCGTTAAATATTCTTCGCTTGATATATCGATACGCGATATATATAAATACATATGGATCGTATCGTATCCATCAACTCGAAGAGATACTAATATTCTTTGAATATGATGGAATGAAAAAAAAAATAAATAAATAAAGCAAGTATCGAGAGATATTTCCAAATATCGAACGTCAAACAAGATAAAAAAGGAAAAAGGAATGCACGCCACGATTTTCCCACGTCCAAACTTCCGCTCCATCTATATCGTTATCTACAACTACTCGAACAAACTCGGGACGAAAACTCGGGCAGACCTGACGTAAACGATAAAGATTGTCTGTTGATTCTTCGAAAGAATATCGATCATCCATCCTCGGCCCCAAACTCGTCGATTATCTCCTCGAATGAATATTTGCAAAACGTCTTCGTAAAGATAGAAAACCGTGAAGATTCGAAGATTCTTTCTCTCGAGGATAGAGAGGTTAGAAAATTCATTTGTTTCTCTGCCTGTTTAAACTGACACGGAAATGGTAAATATTGCCCGTGCGAAACGTGGTTTGCGTTTCGCTTGGAAGATTCCTCCTTGGGTAAGAATTTTTTTTTTGTTCTCTTTGAGTTTTTTCAAGTTTCGACAAGCTGTTTCACAATTATATTTGACTTCGACTTTCAGTTTTGTCATGAATAGAGAGTAGCTTTAACGAAAGGAGAAGAAAGAATTCTTCTGTAAAATTGTTACCATCTGATTTATCTAATTTATCTGTTGCTGTTAATAGAAAAATCTGAGAAAACAAGAAGAGAAACGATTCTTCGTTTATTCGTTTCTAACTTTCTGGAATCCTTAAGAAGATGGAAGATTGTTGTACGAATGTAGAATAAATAAATGATAATCGATGATTGGACAAAAGTTGTTTACGAGAGTTGAAAAAAAAAAAAACAAGTTGAACAGAGGAATAAAATTTATAACACGAAGAAAATCGTTATTTACAGTCTCCTTAAGTGGATCGTTAGTTCGTGATCCGATTTAGCAAGAACAACCGGTCCTCCCCGCTGGATCGGCCCGATCATCTGAACAAATACGAGACACATGCTCAAATAGAATATTCGTTGCTTTGTTGTCGTCAATAAGCTGCTTAACACCGTTGGATTATCACAGTCACACTAGCATTAATTACTCGTCCCATTGTATCGAAAACGAATTTTTTAAAACGAGTAACGTGAAAACATCCTTCATAAAATTATGCTGAAAAATTTTCATAGTATATAGGTACAAATTTTGGAAATTTTATATATAAAAAGAAATATGCATATAAAACTTTCGAAAGTAATTCCGTGGAAAGTATTTTTTTTACAAATGGATACCCTTCAGCGTAATTTTCACTTTTAACACCGCTTGCGAAAAAAATATATTCTCCAACTCACGATAATTCTACTTTCGATTGAGCATGCATCTTAAGGGTTCGGGAATAAATTCGAGAGTAAAACTCTCCAACGTAATTTTTCACTTTTGCGGCGAGAAATTTTACTTTTCGAGAAAGGGAAAGAATTAATTTTTTTTATTACATATAATTTTTTCAGAATGGAAATTATTCTCCATAGTGGTTTTTTGAATTTCAAATCGTATCCTCGAATAAATCTATTTCGAGGATCGAAAGAAACCTCTTCTCGATGCATCATTGTCACGGCTGTTTCCTCGCGTATCTCTTTCTTTTACTTTCTTTCTCCGTTCCCCACGATGACTAAGAGTTTTCGTATCAGGTGATCAGGTCGAAGGATTAACACGGCATCCGCTTAAAAACTTGGCCTGCTGATCATAGATGCGGTATTCATGAAAACGAAAGCATTCTGTAACCCTTCTCGAAGGTTACATAATGTATCAGAAGACAACGGAACCTGGGCGAATCGCATTATACAGATCTGGATCGTGATCGTCTGGAAAAAAAAAAAAAAAAAGGAAAAAAAATCGTCTCGAAAGTAGGATTCTTTTATCTCTTTTCAAGGGAAAAAGGTAATTTCTATAGTGACTGAATTTTTTGGAGATAAGGAGAGAAATAAAGTGGCCCACGATTCGAATCGAAAATAGGAATGTGGGATGGTGGTAGAAAAGGGTGGAGCATGTGGGTATGCTGGAAAGTGGATATGCGACACTGAACGGGCATTGGAATGATTTATGAAGTACGAAATGGGACGAAAAAGAAACGGAGGATAGCGATGGAGTCGAGGCGTTTCGTATTATTTCTCTTTAAAATTCGTTCGAGGAATCGAAATATTTTTGTGCAGGGTTTAAAAAACGAGTGAAATATGCGCAGCAAAGGATTTCGAGAGGACTAGGAATCATCGCTTGTGAGAAAATCGACGTCGAATATTTGATTTGTGAACCATGATAGAGATTAAGAAAGGCAAATAGTTCGAGAAATCGAAATATTTTTGTATGGAGATATTTTTGTATTCCTCATCGAAAAAAATATAAAATATGTAGAGTAAAGTTATCACCTAGAAATCTCCGTTTGTGAGAAAATCAACGTTGAATGTTTGTGGATTCGTCTCATTTTCCATCCCATATTCCGTCGTATTTTCAATTTCGATTTTCAAGAAAATTAACTCGTATCGAAAAATCTTTCTCTATCCAGTTTTCGACGAGGAATCCTGCGTTAAATAAAAACAAGATCAGAATCGAGTAATTTTCAAAAAAAAAAAAAAGTAATTTCTCCAAGCATTTTAAGCAAGTAGTGCATTCGAAACGATTCGAGACCTCGAATATAATCGATTGTTCACCGACTACCGAAACAGTTTCTTCTTTGCAAGCGGCTGGTGCATCTCCCGCGCTTTTTTGCCTACCATAATGCGGTGCACGGAGTGTTTCGAACCCTCGTCTCTCATCGAATGTTCCTTCTTGTTCCCTCCGTCTCGCAACGACACGCACAACTTTTACGACCGACCATTTATAACTGGCTGTCCACGTGAGGAGGCCCAGGGGCGACGTGCACGGCCCTGCTCCTCTGGAATAATTAATCCCCTAGAATTTTCACTAAAATTCTATAAACGAGACGTTGGCTACTATTGTTAACCAATTCGACGATTCGACGTCTACTTATTAATTATCAGAAAAGGAATTAAGATTGTTTATAATAGACTTAATGCCAAACGATAATTTGTTATGATAATTTCGCTTTGTGCAATTAACCATTAACTCGATTCCACACTTTCTTATCTTAATCTCCAGCTATCTGATTAATATATGAACATTCTCCAACTTGTTATTGTCAATTTCACAATGAAGATCAGATTGCAATCGAAACTTGATTAGAATGAATCTCTACAAATACACGAAGTGTTATTGTAATTCGTGAGACATCTTTGGAGTCGATTTTTGAGGCCAAAGCAAACAAAAGTTGATATACAAAAATTAAAGGTTAGTTATTAGGTTATAAACAATTGAAATTTATTGAACTCTATGATTATTTTAATCTTTCGAATCGAAAATTATTTCTCCTAATGTATTATACGAACAGAGATGGATAAAATTTTAATAAAATTGAAGTTAAGAATAAAATACTTTAATAATAAATAAAGTACTTAATAAGTTATTTATTTCACTTATTATTTTTACTTTAATAAGTTTAATAATTTATTATTCAGCATCAAATAATTGCAAATAATTATATTGTCAAACAGGCTAAGATTATATGAAGAACGAATCAAATAGCTGTAATAGCTACGAATAAATGTTATTGAGCCATTTTGAATAAAATTATTTAATCAATGATTTAAAGTTTATTCGAAATTGTTACTTTTTCAACAGGTTAGTATCCAATAACTACTGTATGTATAACGATATAACCTTAAAACGATATAACCTAATCTAACTTTTACATCTCCATAATTATAGCAAGAAGAAAAAGATATTTGTTATTATTGCACAATTTATAAAATTTTCATACATTAATCATCAAGTTACTTACAATGATAAATAAATTGAAAAAGAAAAATTATGAATAATTGGAACATTTCGATCTCTGGCTACCGTAATCATTACCGTTACGCTTGGCAGTTAATATAACGTGTCCGTAGGCAATTAAAAGCAACGACGGGCAATTAGCAACGTCCTTATCGTTCATCGGCTCGCTGCCAGCCGATCGCGAGATTCCTGAGAGATAAGGATCTTCGGATAACACCGTTAACTTATCGCCATTGATCTCCTCGAACTCGCTCTGAAATCGATCGAGGTCAACGATTACGCTTCGCGAATCACCACCTCTTCCCTTTTTTATTGGCAAAAATTATTCTGGAACATCTGCACGATAACGAGATTCCACTTGTTAACAACTAAGCAAATACGTTTTTATCTTCTATTTGAAATGGCTCTGTGTATATGTGTCGAGAATAGATGTCAGACTGATGAGGAAGATTTTCTTTTTTAATTAATTGTTGAAGAAGTTATATTCGTAACTACTTTAATTTTCGTTTCTGCGTTATTTTGTGTCTTCTCTTTATTCTATTTGATCAAAATCAAACAAGAATCAAAGAATCTTAACCTAACTTTTTGATTTGATATTATATTCATATCAAGTTTAATTTTCGTATGTGCGCCAAATATTTCTAATTTTCAATCTTTTATAATAAAAAAGTTAATTGAAAAAAATATATATATTATCACATAATTATAAGTAGTTATTCAATCTATAAAATTTTTATTTCAGTTCTTCAAATTTTTCATAATTTGGAAGATTTTTCGTAAGTAAAAAGTTTTTGTCCGTAAATTTTTATTTTTGAAAAGAAAAGAATAAGAACATTTGGAAGGCAATCTCAACGGTCTAGAAGACTCTCGATCGTTCGTTGTTGGAGTGAGGAGGGACTGTTATCATGAATCTTGGGTAGCCACAGCCCCGGTAGTGATGATGGTATCGGCATGGCTCGTCCAGAGACATTGATTTTCCATAAATACAGATGCGATGCTAATTAGATGCCAGTTGCACTTGATGTGCTCGTTCCTTGATTCGAGAATCGATTTTAGAATAAATATCAGCTTTGAAAATCAAAACTGATTATTTCTTATCTTATAATAGCAAAAAAAATTTATTTCCGATCTTGCTGATTTACAATGCAAAAAGATAATTCCTATGAAAAAAAGTGAATTTGTATGTAAATGTTTTTCAAGACTAATTTAGTATATTTTTTTCTGTAAAAGAAACTAATTTCATGGATCATTTAAATTATTGAAAATCTTTTATCTCAAATTTTATATTTATTTTCCCTTTTTAGTGAAAAATCTCGAATTTTCCAAGATTTTGTAAGGAAACATAAATAATTAATTTTTTTTCCGTGATCTACACCAATATTTACGAGCGGTTCGACGGTTTTAGGTCGATAGAACGAATCAGGGTTTCTCTGAACAACTCAAACATATTTGTCACGCTCCTGGATCGAGTTTCTATTGGTTTTCTTTCAAAGTCCATTTCAAAAACGCGCTTCGTTTTACGGTTCCACCCTTATCTGCATGATCTCTCGTTTCGTCGAACTGTTTTTATCGTTCTTCGTGAGTTATTCAGATTCTCCTTAGAATTTATGAGAAAAGATTTAATTTCTTTGTATGTGTATCTTAAAACAAAATTTATCTTTCTTAAAAAAAATAAATTAAATTTAAATTAGATGAAAGAAATTATAAATATTAAATTTTATCGATTAAATTTTAGATATATCCATAGATGTCTCATAGAAACGTCGCTTGAATTCAAATCACAAATTAGAACATTCATAGAGGTATCCTAGTAACTTTATTATAAATTACAATACAATGTACTATATTTTTCAAATTTTTCAAAATTATGAACGACTTTAATAAAACTTTAAATACAAATTATAAATAGAATACCAAACATACTATATCTATTAAATTTTTAAAAAATTCATGGCCGACTCTAGTAACTTTCGTTTAATTTTTACTCGTATATTTTCGAAACTTTTAAAAAGAATTAAATAATCGAATATATTATCATCATAGATTACCTCTGACCCAATGATCATGCTTTAAAACGAGCTCGAATCGAATAATTTATTTGTATTTCGTGCGGGACAGGAAGCGACGTTAGATTCCGGAGGTGGCATAGGGATTCCAGGGATAGCGTGTCTCGTAGATCGCTAGGTTTATGGAACGGTGCCATGGCACGGCAGATGATTACCGCCACTTACGACATTCGCTCGCCGATCGTTCGAGTGCTTTTACATCGAGGTGGCGACTTATCGATCCGGTCCTTATGGCTCGTACACACAACGTGTAACCTCGAAAGGTCGAGCTCATTTGCATAGCCCGCATTCGCCCTCTTGAGACTATTTCTTTATGTGTATCGTGTTCGTTTCGGTCGTTGAACAATTTCATTCGAAAGATCGTACGTAATCTGCAAATCGTTTATTTTCTATTGATATCTGCAGTTAATTTGAAATTTTTTTCAAAATAAAATTCTTTTTTTAGGTTATGTATAGTGTTTGTTTCATTGGACAATTTCATTTGAGGTATCGTACGAAATGTGATAAATCGTTTATTTTCTATCGATATTTATATTATAATTAAGAATTTTTTGAAATAGAATTTTTTTTTTAGATTATATTATGTGTAGTAATTTAGAAAAACGTTTAGAAAATTTAGAATCTATTCTATATATCTTTTACAAGCTATCTTTTAAGCTTTTTAATTAATCTTCCATAATTAATTTGAACTTCTTGAAAAATCTGAGAAAATTCTAAAATACTTATTGAAACTACTTTCCAATTGTGTAATTAAATATTTAAAAGAACTTGTCAATGAAAATAAGGAATTCAAAAGAATTAAGATCCAAGTTGCGAATGGAGAATAAAATGATAGATATGGATAAAACTTGAAGGAATAAATCACATTCTAATCTGTAATCCTGAGCTCTGTTATACTTGATTAGGTTAACGACTATGAGATCCCGGGTGTCAAGTTCGATTTGCCGGTTCACGAGTCTGTTATCTAATAGTTAAGCCGATAGTGACGATGTTAGCCAGTCAACGAGGCCTCTTATCTAATGTTTGACTAACATCAGCCAACGATCAGAGTTCGGTTCTATTCGGTTCACGATCTCGTTACGTAATCTCTTGTCAACATCTTACTTAACTTACTACCGACTTCTTACGACTAGCCTCTGTGCAGCCACAGTTTCAGCCAAAGTTACGAATTTATCGAAAATTTAAAGTTTTGACACAGGACGTTGATATCAGTCAGACAATATCGCGTATCCGCGTCTATTTATGGAAGAAACTAACAAAGAACCAGCGGATGCCATGCGCCATTGCTGACTCGTAATATCCTGGGTTCATTTTTTCCCTTGTTATCTCTTTGATTTTACAATTTCTTAAAATTCTTAAAAATTTCTTCGATTATTATCTCAATTTTTCGTATGGAGAAAAAAATTTTAGAATTTTCGAAAGTATCTTTTAATTGGATGATTCAAGTTAGGTTAGACTAGGTTAGATTAGGTTCTGGAATTTTTAAAATATTTTTTATTTTAATTTGAATTAGGCAATTCAAATTAAAATTAAGATAGAAATTTTATTATATTTTTATTCTGTGATTACTTTTTTTTTTTTTTACTTAGAGAAATAAGATTTGGAAAATGTATCGTTATTTATTCACTTTCTACTATTATAGCGATAGAAAATCATAAAATCAACGATGATTCAGGAAAGATTCATCCATAATCAAATATATATATAATCATACAATCATTAGCAAGAACAAATGGTTTTCCTATCTTTCTCGATTGTTCTCCAGTCATATTTCCTATTCACGAATTCATATTTTCCAATGAAAATAATACACAAGATAATAAAACCTCTGAGGTCGATTTATATTATCGATTTCGTTGATCTCCTCTATTCAGGTCACTGTATTGTGCGAACAATCGTCTGTGAATAATGCAAAAGAAAGCGAACGTATTATCGTTACTTTTTTTTCTTTATTCTGCGCCGACGATAACGATGTGAAAATTGTTTACGAACGTTCTATCTGCGAGAGGTATCTCTCTTATTATCGTATATTTCGAAAAAATATTAAATATTCGAACTGGAATTTGCTTATTTGATAAACAAGTTCGTATTTTATGAGTTATTAAAATTTTTTTTTTTTAACGAACTTAAATATGAATATATTGGAATCATCTTTTCAGTTCTTTTTTAGTGATATTTTTTTATATATTTTCTAGTGAAATTTTTACTAGCAAAAAATGTTCCTCTATATTTTACACTCTCATTATTCATTTTTCTTTTTAGTCTAATCTCTTAAATTTCAATCGAAGAAAAATTTGTACGTCTAATCTAATGATTGACAAGGAAGTTCTCGTAAATTAATCAAAATGGCGGTGAAAAATTACGATAATCCTCACGGTCATCGTGCTATCTTTCGGTTATTTATAGTCGCGAGCATACAACAATGACAGGTATATTCGATAACGAATGCTAGTTAGAAACTGAACATTATTCTCGTTTAAAAACGGAATAGAAGCTAAACAACCGAGGAAAATTCTTTCCTAATTGGCTTCCGGAATTTTATGTTTCATTGAACTTCTCATCGACTCGCTCTGTTTAGTTGTAAATTAACTCTGCATTTTTTATCATTTTTAATATTTACATATTGGTTCTTTTCTTCAAAAACCTATCAACGATAATTATCATAAAAGATAATTAAGTGAAATGAAATTATTATAAACTATCGATCTGTGTCCATTGATTTTGAATTAATTAAATGAAGATTCGATGAAAAAGAAGGAAAAAGAAATGATTCTAAATTTTTAATGTAATGCACATACAGTAGATAGTGACTCAAAGTGAAAAAATACATAGAAGTTTATTTATTTAACCAAGACAGCTAGGAAGTTGGAGTTTTGCCACGAGATTGCCACTCTCAAAGTTGTTTCTACGACCACGCAGAGGTGGAAAGCTTTGGTCGACGACGATAGCCTCTTTGCACGCATACCCGCTCGCGTATTTGCACTTTGTCCGACTGTAAATTACGTTTCCACGGCGTGGCGAGATACAGCGAAAACGCCATTGGACCCTCTTCTTGGACTATTATCGTGGTGCCATCTCTCTTCATTTTCCTGTTTTAAATTCTTCTTGCAAAATTACTCGAATCCGACATTTTCTTTTCATCAACGAGGATATCTAAACTTATATATAAGTACATATACTTCTGCTTAAAAGTCTTGGAATCTTCTTTTATGGTGTAATCATGAATTTTAATTTTTATGTTAAATACATTAATATTTATTGATGGTCACTAAATTTCTTAACTCTTTACTCTGTAAACATTTTCACGATTACCTCGAACCATAAACGATGGTCATTTGTATTCAACGTGATTTTCAATAGGTAATAGTCTAGCATTTTCCAAGCTTCTGAAGAAGCTGAATAAACGTTAGAATAAAAAATTATTATATAGCAATTCGTCTCGATTATCCTTATTATATTTTCATCATATTACTTTTTTTAAAAACGCTCATTTAACGAATAAGGATTATAATTTTCGAATAAATTTTATAGATATTTCAAGATTTTCGAACGAAGAAGAAGAAAATTTTTTCCACGAAGAGAAAAATCGAGCGATCGAGATCCGAAAAGGTAAGAAAATAGATTCGATTAAATAATCGAGATGATCTCGTGCATTTAATAATATATATTTTTTCGAACGAAAAGTGCTCGATGAAGAAAGAAAAAATTTACACATAGGCCCAATGAAGATTCCATCGAAAAAGGAAGATCAATCGATCGACTCAATTGAGAAATTATCATATCTTAATAAATATAATAGATCTCCTGAAACATTCTCGATAAAGAATGTCTATATACTCGGAAAAAAAAAAAAAAAAAAAAAAAATAGAAGGTGCACGGAAGAATCCGTGGAACAGGGACCAGGCTCAGAAAAGGAGGAAAGGAAGATGGAGGGTCAGGCGAAAAAGGAAGAGGCAGTCGATCGAGGATTAAGTAGTCGAGGTGATCTCGCGCACTTAGGGCTACAAGGGATAAAGCTCCGGCACTGTCAGTGGGCAGGGTGGGACGAAGGGTGGACCAACCGGTCCTCGAGGTTGCCTCGGCTTATTCAGTCAACGAACTCTGCGGGCCTACGACGTGACACTGACCCCTCCAGGGTAAACGTCCCTGGCCGGTCGCTTTATCAATGTAAACGCGCCGATCGCCGGTGGAAATAAATGGGAAAAAAGAGAAGGGGGAAGAAAAAAAAAAAGGAAAAGAAAAAAGAGAGGAAAGAAGGGAGAAATAAGAAGAAATAAGAGGAAGAAGTGGAAAAGGAAAGGAAAAAAAAGAGAGAGAAAGAAAAAGAAAAGGAAAGGCACGGTTGCGTCGTCGGAAGGCAAAGAGAAGTGGATGGTTGTAACATTAGCGAGACGCTGAAGACGATGATCCCTTCGGGGCGTGTTTCTTCCAACGGTATACGTATAATGTATAGGGTGGCTTGAATGAACGCATCTACTTAAGGATGGTAATCTCCACACTCATGTGGCTAATATATCTTAATTTTCTCGAGTTATCGATGAGGAAAATATCGTTGTCGATTATATTTTTTTCTTCTTTAAGGACAATTTTTGTAATCAATATCCTTTGATCTTGTATCTTATCTCTTGAAATTATTCGATTAATAAAAAAAAGGATGCACTTATGGATTAGATTTTCATCTTTAAGGAAAACTTTTTCAATCGATGTTCTTTGATCTTGTTCCATTGGATATTTATTGCATCGACGAAAATTGAGGTATTCGATGCGAGTGAACGATATGAACGATCTATAATAAAGAGAAGAGAATTTTAAATTATTCGAGGAATACGTGGTATTTTACAATGAACGAAGTAACGAACGGAATTCGAACTGGTAAGTGCAACTTGTACATATCTGATCTTGCATGTATGTATATATATATATATATGTATATGTTCTTACAATTTATTTCTTCTTATTTATTTTAATAGAGTGGTATTTTCAATGGATTTGTATTTATGAATCACCTTGTGTGCACGGTGGTGAGTCCACGTTTATGGGAGAGAGCTGATAACGTTGCGAATTTCCTCACGTTCTTTCGCGTGGTAATTTGCGATTTAGCCGGAATGAGAAGAAGGGTTGGTGGATTGTCGTGGATTTTTATCAGTGTAAGAATTGGTTTTCGTCCATTACGTTGTTTTTATATTTATTTATGCATGAATAGAGGCTCGAGCCTTGGAAATTCAAAAACTTGGTATAATTTGTATCCTCTTTTTCTTTTTCAAAGTTGGAGAATTTTTTGGAAATACACTACACTTGCATAACACTACGAGCGATTAAATTGAGAAAAGGCAGTTTTTAGAAATTATATTGAAGGAAGAAGAAAATAATGGATATAATAAGGTAGGTGTTCCAGTAGTCTATCGGGAACAAGAATGCTTTTTCCTTATCGGTAAAACTTATCCGGGGAACACAGTGGGGTTGGCATTGCTCTCGTATCTGTGCCCTCGTGCGATAAACTGGCTAAAACCCAAGAACAATAATAAATACGATAATAACGACAGCCACGATACTCTCTAAAAACTTCTACGATTTTATTTTTTAACATTTTTTTTTTCAGGGGGGAAAAAAATGGAGGAAAAGGAGGAGAAAGGAAAGGTAGAAAAATATATCGAACTTAGGAAAGAATTTTCTTCTCTTCAGGGACGAGTTTATCGAGAAGAAAAAAATTCTCGTTTTCTTGAAAGTGTTAATATATATATTGTATGTTATATTTTGTATTTTCAAAAATTGATAATGAGATTACCTATTATTAAATTAAGATATTTTTTTTTTTAAATTATTCTTTATCAAAATTTCGAATTCGAAAAAATTGGCAAAAAGTTTCAAGAATTATTTCATTTTAGAGAATTATTTTATTTTATTATCTTCTTGTAAGATATTCCACATTGAGATTTTTTTTCTGCTTTGACCAAAATTTGAAAGATGGCAAAAAATTTTTCAAAAAAATTTCGTATATTCCATCTGTATTAATTATCTCCAAAATATTCAAATTACTCTCCTATAACATCGAAATTCAATTTCGAATTCGAAAAATGTTTCGAGAATTCGAAATTTTAAAAATTACAAAAGATTTCGTATATCTTATTAATTACATTCAAATTATTCAAATTATCTTCCTGTGAGGCACGCTACATGATACGCTAACTGATTTAATAAAAATTTCGAATTTATCAAAAAAATCTTTGAGAATTCAAAATTTCAAAAAAATACGCGTATAACCCTTCAAAATATTCAAATTACCTTCCTAGACATGCTGCATACCTCACCAATGGGAAACATCGATCTACACGGCTAGTAGGCAAACGAGGAAGATCAATTTGCATCGAAGGAGATAATCGAGACCGAAGAAGAAATCGAGCGTAGGAAGAGAAGGCGGAGAATCACTCGTAGCAAGGTTGTGTCGCTGATTCATTAATTTACCGGTGCCTAGAGGAAGGAGCGGGGAGCAGCGCAAAAACCGTTGCAACAAGACGGAAAGGCGGGTGCAGGAAGCTGCTCCGTAATTGACGATTCTTCATAACGGAACCCCTTCCCTTTTATTCGCGCGAAGAACGGCAGGAATTGCTGCTCGATGATGAGTCTATCTTCTTTTCTTTTCCTTCCTCTTCTTCCCCTTCTTTTTCTCCTTCTTCTTTTTATAACTCTGAACGTGATCGAACGTGTCGAGTCCTCGACTTTTTCCGCATGAAATTTTTTCGATCGTAATTTTCAATGAACCGTCGACGATCGAACGAAATCGTCTGGACTCAAGATTTCGTTTTATTTTTATAAAAATGGAATTTGTATGCGTATATCGAAGATAATTTATGCGATTCGTGGATTTCGAAATATCGAATTTTGAGTTTCGAATTATCTTTATTTTTTTTTTTTCAATATTCTCGAAAAACTAAACATTTTTCAATTTTTAGTAGTTAATTTTTAAACGGTAACTTAACCTGTATTAAACTTATCAAATTTTTAACATTTCAAAGTTTCGAGTGATTATCCACCGATAATTACAATTTGTAAGTTAGGTTAGTTTAAAGTAGTGGTGCAGTACGATTGGCCAGTACGATTTTGATAAAACGGTGAAAAGAGGATGAATAGTGTGTAATTCAAGATTGTTAATGGGAATCTTTGGAGGATGACCTCGGGCTATTTGGTTCAATGGCGGTTGATTCAATCCTCGAGCAGCGAGGCTGAACGACTCCTATTTAGCGGGACTTAATCGAGCCACTACCAAATTAAAAGAAACCTCTACATCTCGAGATCTCTGCAGGACCAATTGAACCTTCGTGTTCCTTTTGTAATGTATTAGATGATTGGAAATCGACGATGGTCGTTGTTATCTTGAAAGAGACGAAAACGGATATTACATATCGATTTTGTAACAATTTCCATTAACATGGAGAACACACTATTAATTTAATTTAAAATTAAAAATTTAATCGAATTTGAATTTTTAAAATCCATACATTCTTCAGAATTTTCTATCGTGAAAATTCAAGTAAATTCTGCCTGGTTTTTAAAACTAGGAAAATTATCGCAATCGTAATTATTGTTGTTATAGTAAACATTGTAATTATCGAAGCTTTAAAAAAAAATTATTAATAAGATAGTCTAGAAATCTGTTTCGCAAAAAACTAGAAATAGAAAACCTGTAATTCAACCCCGTTGAATAAATTAGTTTGCAAAGTATGTTGGAGAAGGTATGTAAATCGCAATAAATATCTTCTCAAGGAAAACTTGCACATTGACACGGAAGAAATTCGAAAATGGCGAAACCTGTAGGTAACAAAGAAACCTGCATGTTCAACCGATATATATCTCGAGAAAAATTACTAAGCAAACTCGAAATAATATTTTTCCCAAGAATAGGAACGAAAAAAACTGCACGTTCCATCGAGATGTCCGCCGCGCCCTGTATAAATAAATTGCTGGAACTCGACGTCTCTTCTTCTCTCTTATTCTTATTTCATCGGCCTCGCTCTCGAGAAAGAGATCGAATTGAATGGCCATTGCTGGCAGTCGCACCTTGCGGCAACGAGGAGGGACGTGTACGTACGGTCGATTAAGTCGATTGGATAAAGACCGAGAGAGAGCAAAACTGGTGATCTCGTTCCACGCGGTGGCCCCGATGTATCTATAACCGTGTTCCACGGTCGCGAGTATTGCTACAAATGAGAGTTTGAGGCGTCACTGACTCGCTGTGCAACTCTCTTGTCTCGCTCTCTCGGCTTTGCATTCTTTTCTAAGCCTGTTCTCTCTGTTTGTTGTCGCTTATTGAATCTGATTCGAGAATCGTCTCAATTATATTCATTTTTCTTTCCTTTTTACATCGATAACGTTAATCTTTAACGATCGAAAAAAACTTTTTTTTAGGTTAGGTTGATCGACTATTTTGATATCGGTACAAAGTTTTTGATAAATTCTTATATTTTGGTTATAGTTATCATGACTAGGTTTGTATTGTATTTGATATTTTTGATATTAATGTAATTATAGAGATTCGAACTACAATTTTTTGATGAATTCACTTGGTATTTCGTTTAATTGGCCACGATGATATAAAAAAAAATAATAAAGTTTATTTTTTTTAGAGTTAAAAAATTTCGTCAAAGTTGAATGTAATTATTTATTCAAAAAAGTGAATACGTAGCGCGAGAAGGAGATCTCGTAGCGGACAAACGACGTGGAAAGTCCAACGAGACAGCAGTTGGCACACAGTCCGACTCTCGATTCATGCAACGTCACGTGTCGCATCCGAAGATACACGCTTTCTTTGTGTGGCATTAACGTATTCTGACTTGGACACTGCATCGGAAACACCATTCTAAATCGGTTTCAAAAGTTTGAACCGTGTATCCCCATGAGAAAGTCTACTATCTTACATGATTGCATAATCAACGCAAAAAAAAAAAAATTTATATCAAAAAACAAGCGGAATAAGAATAATTAACAAGTTAGAAATACAGCCAGGAAATCGTAAAAAGATAGAGAAAGCGGGGCGCCATTAAATTACAGGTAAACGAATCATATTTCATTCTCCAATTTCTTCTGAAATTCGCTGTATCTATTAAAAAAAAAAAAAAAAAAAAAGACAGAAAAAACGATCGATCGAGTGTCAACCAGAGAATTAACGAATCGTATTTTACGTTTCAATCCACGCTTCAAATCCATTTTTTTATCTACGTTTTATCTACGAAAAGATAAAATGGAATGGAAAGCGAGAGTCCAAAGCAGAAATGGAAAGAAACGAAGGAAAGAAATAAAAATGGAAGGCCAGCCGATTATTGGTGGATGAAAATGGCGGAAGAGGGAAGAAACGCGGAAAATCAAGCTATTAATATACACGGGGACCGGCCAGGCAACATTCTAAGCAAGCAGAGAAACACACGTTGTTTCGCGCGGTTGCTCGCCAAGCAGAACGAAGAATTTTAACGCTCCTCCTTTTCCCGCACCTGCTGCTCAGGCATTCAGCCAGGGACACGCAATTACCGGTGTTTTTCTCCCGCGAAACGATTAATAACGCGGCCCGCGACACGCTCTACAATTATGGCGCCGGGTACGTAAGTAAATGCCCTCGAGGATCGGGTCTTGTTTCGAATAATCGAGCTCGGTCGTGGATCGACGCCTTTCTGATCGATAACCAAATTGTCCCTATAATCGTGTTGAATAATTCATCTAAATTTTCTCTCTTATGAATAGATTTTTAATCGAATAACCAACAAAGATATTTTTCGTTATCTAAATGATTAAATAAAGATACGTTTCCAATGATTAATTTTGATGTTTCTTTCGTTCATTAGTATTATTTCATGATAATGATAATTGGATATTTTTCAACAGAGATAAATATCTTTTGACTCGATCAGTTTATGTATTTGTTTTATCTAAATGGTTAAACTAATAAGGATTTCCAATGGTTAATTTTGATGTTTTCCCGTTCTTTGTCATTGATATTACTTCATACAATGATAATGGCATAGATAAATATTTTTTGATTCGACCAGTTTGTATTTCTTTTTTAACGCTACTACTTTTCTTATCTGAATGGTTAGATCGCTGTTAGTTGGATCGCCACGTTTCACGCAATTGATCCAACCAATTACTCCACTAACAACAATCAGAATCACGTTCACCAAATAACCAATTCCACTCGAACGATCGCTACACCGAACCGACCTTACTACCGCTAAATAAAATACACAGACGATACCACAGACTCTCAATGAATCACCTCCCATTGTTCCTCAATCTCGACCATCGTCAAACCGCAATAATCTCCATGAGACATTCAACTTCTACTTAAAACAATCGCCTCTCGTCGTTTCTGTCCTTTGCCAGTCAATTAGATTAATTCAATTAGTTCAGTTGGGAGGAACGAATGAATAGAATAACGTTTACGCATTATTCCAGACATAGAATACCGGAATGTTTCTAAGGATAGATTCTAGATAGATAATCTAGATTTCTAAAGTAGATTTATATTTAGACCAAAAAAATATTCAACATTTCGAATTTTCAATATATGATTTTTCACTGTATAATTAAAATAAAATAACAAATACATCAAAAATTGACATTTGATTTTTGTAACCAATTATAATTTTTCATAAATTCTTTTAATAAAAAAAAATCCTTCTAAACCATAGTATCCAATGAATAAGTATCCATCGATAAAAGATTAATCGCCGTGGCATAGAACGAGGAGTTAATAATAGACGCCGGTTTTCTCGGTGTTCATCAGTCGGCATAACACGCATGTCGTTACATGTTTACGATCACGAAGCAAAGTGCGAACCTATCGCAACCTTCGACCCGCTGTTTCAGATTTCTTGCTAGCCGCGTGCCGCAGGAGCCGTTTCAAAGCGTTGCGCAATATCCTCTTCACTTCGTTTGCTCTTCTCGCCTCGTAATATTTTCCTCGTGGATCAAAAATCCATCTTCGTTTCTCCAGTCTAATTGCTTTAATCTTCTTTTACATTATATTCCTATAATCTTTTCACTTTTTTTCATTCGCGTGAATGATAATTTTCGTAATTTGAATATGATGATTTTCAATTTTTTTTTCATAGATATAATTTTATTGTGGTAAATTAAAAAAAAAAAAAATGATTAAAGTTGCATTTTTATATTTTTAATATAGACAACATAGAAATTCAATTCACCATAAACCGTATATTGTTAAGTTTGACGATCTACAACTTGGCTCACTGTAATATTGTACGCTAGTAGGCACGTCCTACCGGTTGTCTAACTTTAAACTTTTCCAAGTCGAAAATAAACCGACGCGGCTTTTGCCTGGCGTAGAATCGCGTTCGCGAGCAACACGACTCTTCCTCGTCTCTTGGTGGGCGTAAATTTGTTGAAGGAATTCGCATAAAATTACGCTATCTTCTTTCCCCGTCGAACCGAGAGCTTCCTCTTCACTGTTCAGCTATGGATCCTTGACAGATCGGTTCGACTAATGAGCCATGTGTCATATTTCTGCACATTGATAAATGTTACGTTAAATAAAGAATTAGTCATTGAAAATATGACGAGAATCGAGCTGTAAGCGTGTAGATTTTATAGGATTCTCGTAGAACCTAAATTCCCCTAGGATCTAGGGACATTATATTAAAATTTCACACTCTTCCCTTCATATTTCAATTCTACTCGACCATTGCTAAGGTTCTAAAATCGGAATAGTCTTTGGGAACGCCCATTCGTCGAGGAAATAAATTCACAGGTCTCCAGAAGATCGAGGAGAATGATGAAGTTGGCATTGTCCAACGTAGCTATTTTTGCCCATTCCCCATGCAGAATTACCGTGAGAAGGACTATTCTCCATAACTATCGACCGAAAGAAAATATTGACGCCATGCTTGCCTCGTATGCATTATTCAAAGTTGAAATTCGCATTTAAACGTCCTCGGTTCAAAATTCACAGCCACTTTTATAACGTGCTCTTCGTTTCGAAATAACCAATCTATTCATCGTTTTTTTTTTTCAAAAATGTCTCTTTCTTTAAATTTATCAATTTGCAAGTATTCTCTAATCTAATAAATATATTATTTCATGAAGAAAAAAATTTTGAAAGAAAAATATTAATACAAAGAATAAAAAAATAGAAAATTATTTTAAAAAAATGAAGAAAAATTTCGAGAAAGATTATAGAAATAGAGATGAGTATTCCATTTTTTTCTTCCTCTTAATGCGTTGTAAGAAACATCCTTAGTCCATAATTAACTTAGAATTTCGTTCCATTAAATACCGTTTTTCACATGAAAAGAGACCTAGCGCGCCGCATAACGATGACCAACCGAGATAAAAGGTTAATCGAGAGCCTCGTTATCGGTGGATCTCGCTCTCATGTGTATGCACGTTTATGCATATATACTTGAAACGGCCATGTGCAACTACCAATACGTAAAAAGGACATGTATGTGTATATGAAGGCACGAGGTCGAGGGCCAACCTACATATTCATCGAGACACTTGCTTCCGCCCGTCCGGCAAATACGTTTCTTACTTTTAAATTATATTTAATGGCGGCGCGACGACGTGTTTTTTCGTTTTCCTTCGGCATTCGATTAGCTACGAACCGAAACGACGAGGTGACGATAGAGGTGATTTCCTTCGGACCTTCGATTAACCGTGATTTCCTGTCAAACGTGTTCAATGTTTCATCGGGGAATGTAGACGTTCGTTACTCGATAACCTTTGATATCTTCGGTGGGGAGAATTATCGGATTAAACTTGCGTCTATTTCGATCGAGTTCACGTGTTGGATTGTTCATTTCGATCGTTCTAGATTCTTGGTTTGGGTTTAGGTTAGGACGATAGTGGAGTTATGACAATCGATATCGATAAATATCGATAATATCGATAATAAATCGAATTGCGTCTATTTCGATCGAGTTCATGTGTTGGATCGTTCATTCGATCGTTCTAGATTCTTGGTTTAGATTTAGGTTAGGACGACAGTGGTAATGGAATTAAAATTGACAATCGATACTGTTATCGTTAAATATTGACAATATTATTGAGATATCATCAATGAAAAATAGATAATAAAAATAATTGAAATTACAAATTTCATTTATTTAAAGTTGTTATAAAATGTTATTAACGATATTTCATTAAATATTTGATTAAAAAAATAAAACAATAACATAAAATAAAATAGAAATGACTGAAATAGATTACAATATAGTTTTTTAGTAATATATTTATGTATCTTAATAATATAATATTATCGATATATATAAAAACAATATATTAATAAGTTATCGACAACATATTAATAATCGATAGTCACGACTCTAAGTTAAATATAATATAATAGTTCGTTCAATTGCGATAAAAAAATTTGTTTAGATTTAACATAATTTATGCATAAAATAATATTGTATGGATTTAATAATATTTAGATTTAGTTATCTGTAATTAGATTATACGTTCATTGGATCGTTTTAGATTCTTGTTTTAAGTTTAAGTGAAGATGATTGCGATAGTGAAATAATATATATTTATGTATAATATTGTTCACTCATATTCAATAGAAGTTTATTTAAATTCGGCATTTAGAATAATATTATAAAATAGATTTTGAAATGTTTAGATTTATTTATTGAAGTTAGGTTACGTCAGAGCTATTGTTGCATATCGTCGAGTTGAAATTAAGTAAATCAGTAAGTTATGATTGTTGAAATATAAATCTAGGATCATTGCAACTCAGATCGTTTAGGATAACTGCAATTTAGATCGAGTATAATTTACATCCATTGCTACCTGGATTCTTTTAATAGTGGTCATTCTAGACGTGATTGCAGTCTAGATTCAGGATAGTGAAGGGTCATTATAACCTGGGTTTAACAATAAGATGACTCGAGATCGTTACAATGTAGACTTAGAATAATTTACAGTCGTTGTTAGAACCAAGCCAGTCAAAGGTGATCATAATTTAGTCCTAACTATAAAATATGACTTGGACCAGTTACAACGTAGATCCGGAATAATTTAAAAGTCATGGCAATCTAGATCTTGGACAACTTAACGCGACTTATATTTACTATAATTTAGAATTATCAAATTATAGATCCATGATAATTTCGAATCATCACCTAGATCGAGGATATTCTATATACTAACCTTTGAGTTTTTCTTATACTTTGGATTTCAATTAACATGTCTATTCTCTAATGAAACATAACCCAATGAAAATGGTGGTTGAATTGATTCTTCTACCACATTACTTATTAAAATCATATCAATCTGTAACTACGTCAGCGAGCAGATTCCGTGGACGAGCAATCATCGCTCTGGCATAGCAACCGGCCCCGCATTCAAGGATTCGATGTCGCGAGGCGGTCGTATATGTGAATCAGGTTTATAAATATATCCGTCGGAACGAACGAAGACGCCGTTGGATCTTGAAACCGATTCGTAGAGAGGTTATCGATCCACCGCGATGGGGGTGTTACGGTTCGCCGCGAAACACCGCGTAAACACTCTATCTTCCTTCTCCGCAACCGGGTATTAACGGCCTGATAAAACGTGGAAAGCTTTACCAATCGTCACTCATAGTGGGGGCAAAAGACGAAAGAATCAATCGAAACTTGATTCCAGTATTTTCTATTTCGAATATTTCATTTTTTTGTACTTTTGTTTAATAATTAAAATATTAATTCTTAATTTATCTACACGATATTATTTTTATTGTGAAATTTGTATGTGTAAACTTGTATTTTATTGTTAAGTGCATACGAACGACTTTTCTTGTTTTTAATAGGAGAAACAAGAGGAAACATATGATTGTGCGTTGAAAAGTTATGCTCATGCGCACTGAATCTGAGTTTGTATATTTATGGTTGGTATTTACCATATAAGTTTCATGATGTGAAAAAGTAAATATTTTTTTGTGTCATGGAAACGAGGATTATAGTGGTAGAATATAATAGAAATTGTCTATATACTATGGAAATTTATTTAGGTTTGATATAATTTAAATATAAAATAATATTATAGAATAAATTTAATTATCTTTAGATAATTAGGTTAGTTTTAAGATATTGTTCCTTAAGTAATATTTAATATTTTTATTCAATTTCAGATAATAATTTCATTTTGTCAAGTAATTTTCAAGAAATTCTAAAAAATCGTCTTTCAATCAATGAAATCAGATCGAATAAGTAATTGGAAGAAATCATATCATTATCCACAATTCAGGTTATCATTATATCAAACTTAAATATTTGATATATTCATTCTTGAATTTCTTGATTTATTTCCTTTTCATTCTCGATGATTCAATCTTTGAGAATATTTGAAAAAATCATGTTATGCTTATATTTCTCAAATGACTAAAATAGATCGATTCATATAGAAATTCAAGTATGTTGTAATTGTAACTAATTGTGGCACGTACTCGTTAGTAGACTATAGATTTACATAAAACTTTTTACGAGAGAAACGAGTCTGGTAAATGATGTATGGTCTTGTGTTAATCGATACTCGCGAAGCAATAGTGCAACAGGTTTTAGAAGATTGTTGTTGATTTATGTACTAACTTGCGTACGTTCGATTTGCGACGATGTGTCGGGTGACATCGTGCAAGAAATTAATTTGCATTTTCCTTTGCATTTAGATCTCTCTTATTTTAATCAGATACAGATTGTATTACAGGAAATTTGAATTCAGTACAAAAATCTAACACATCCCAAGTTCATTAATATATTTGAAATCATAGTAAATTAAAGATTACAGATAAATTTATTAGAATCTAATAATTCATTCAAAATTCAAGATTATGATAACTTATCGTTAATATAATAGAATTATCACAAAATATTAAATTCATTATAATTTTCAGAAATCTACTCTAATTCAATCAAACGATTTAAAGTTAAAATTTGAAAGAAACAAAGTCTCGATTCTCATGAAATTATTTATTGATTTTTTTCACAATTCTTTATTCTAAAATGATTCGAAATCCTTGAAAATGATTCGCAGTGAAAAATCGAGTTGAGTTCTGAAAGAAGCTGTAGCAGGCCGTAGTCACATTCGTGAGGCTACCTACACGAGCAGGCCCCGAGGGACCGACCGGTCTGGCCATATTAGTCCACAGAGTACACGAGGAGGCTGACGTCACCGAAGGGTCGCGTTCTCCTGCTGCGACATAATGTCCTAGACGTTTCACATCTACGGCTACCCTATCGCCAACTAAATACCGTTTTCCAAAGATCTACGTGATTTTACCGACCGATTGAAAACTGGTCACGTAGCAAGTAGTTTCCTTAAGTGGCAACCAACGAAAAGGTGACTCAATGAAAGACCTTGTTCAATAAGGGTATCGACCTTATTTTAATTGGAAGAATAGGTTAATGTTGAATTCCTTTTGTCTAAATAGAAACTAGAAATAGTCGATTTCTTTTGTTTCACTATTATAGAGATTATATTATAGAAATCTTCATATGATAGATTTGGTTGTGAAATGAAAATTTCTTACTAACCTTAATGCCAATAATAATAAATTAATTGGAATGTTACTTTAAAACTCATTAAATTTTGAACAATTTTTTTATTTTTCCATTTTTGTGAAATTTAGATAAATAATTTCATATATAAAATTAAATAAGTTTGATCAGTGGATTATTTTTTAATTTAGATATCATACTCTGAAGATTAATAGAATGAATGTTGAACGTTCGAAATTTTAATCGAACCAATGGAGGACATACACGAGGAAAATCAGTTGAGAAATCGAACGGTACTTTGAAGGAACGAGTCGCCAGGTAGAATTTCTCGTTGACTTCCGGCTGCAACAAAGTTACAAAGACGTGACTGGCCGATCAAATCGTCATCGTTGTCTAGTCTATTTATGGAAATCGTTCTACGTGTCATTCTCTAATGAGCATTTTGTTAACATTGTTCGTTGTGAAAGTTCTAACTAAGAAATTTGTACGTGATTTAGGCGTAAATCTTATTTGATAAATCAATTTTATGAGCTCTGAATGAATCATCAAAAAATGGATAATAATTTAAAATGCATTTTTAATTGCTTGAAAATGACTATGGCCGTTTCGTTTTTCGTTTTTGTGTAAATTTAGCTATCTTTTTCCTTGGTTTCAATTTTCCTTTTTAGTTTTTGGAAAATTAATTATTTTATACATGAGATTCTTCAACATTAAATATCATCAAATAATTGATTTTCGTCTCGATATTTTAACCCATTGATGATAATTAAATGCGTAAAAATTGGATAAAAGCAACATTATTGAAAATATGAATTAATTAACATATTTTTGCAAAAAATATATTAGAATAAATAAATAATTCGAGGAAGCTTATTGCATAAATCCTTAAAAAAAAAATGTAATTCGTACAAAAAAAAATAGTTTATCATATTACTATAAACATCTTTGATTTTTATAAACTTTATGAAATCAATATAAATTACATTGAAGAAGAAACAAGATGAAAGAAATATAAAAAAATTGCTACTTGCAATTTCTTTTAATAATATAGTTAAAATTAAAATACAGAAACGATATAAAATAACTGTGAAATAGAAAACAATTTATAAATAAAATGTTACAGGATATATTAGCTATGATAAATCTATCATCAAAATAAGAAGTAAACAATTTTAGCATTTTTTCTTTCATTTCTATTAATATATTAATTATATATTACAGGTTGATAATTATAGCATTAATCTTGAACAAAGAGAACAATAGTTTGCCTCTTAGAGGAGCAGCATTCACCATAGAAATACCGATCAACCTTATTTGTGCAGGCTGGCAAGGCTTTACCAACGTTCTACCGGTGCACGTGCAGGTTTACACGTATGAAATGTCAGAACAACGGGTGGATTGATTGTTTAAACAAGCATTTAAGCGTCTCGAAGGTGTCGCAAAGCCTCGACTATTTCCTCGAAGGTTGACCAAGGACGCAAGGATCTGAATAGAAAAGAGAGAAGAAAGCCTATACATATACAGATGTTAGTCGCAAAAGTAAGTGTACTATATAATACAATTTACTATATATTTACTTACTGTACATTTACTTTATATTTTTTACTATATAATAAAATTTTCAATCTATTAGAATGGAAGAATGGAAAGTGATTCGAAATTAATTCGTGATAAATATTTATTATTTTAATTTTGCAATAATAGTTCTAATGTTTGAAAATAAAATAATTATTTACAAAAAGATATCATCTTTTAATATGCTATCAACATCATTATTCTGAATTGTATTGTGAAGATTTTGGTTATTGGTTAATAAGTTATTAACAAAAATTTTTCTTTAAAATAATGTTAAGTTTTAATCAGTTTAAGTTTTATTAACAATGAATTATTTATTAAATGAACTTTTATTTGATTTTGATTTGAGATTGGAATTAATCTAATAGACATAATTAAACAAAAATTTATTTAATTAATTTTTAATTTCATGATTTATATTGCATTTGGATTAAATTAGACAACGATTTAACTTAATCTAATCTAAATTATTTTTGTTAATAACTTTTTAATAAACAACGACCGCCAAATAAAACTTTACAGTACTATTCACTGATGATTATTTTCATTATTAAAAAATCAAATCAAAATCCTGAAAATGATACCTTTATAAATATATCAAAAATATTTTTTATCAACGTACTTACACAATTTTTGTGAACAATTTTTTTCGAGAAGAATCTTTTAACTTAAGAAAATCAGATAAATGTTTGAAAATTGAAAAAGCAGCCGTTCGAGCATAATTTCCATTTGATGTGCATCTTATATTATGCTGCAAAAAACAATTATGGTCTCATTATATCTGGATGTTCGCATTTGAAATTTCCATTTCCTTTGTCCTCGCGTTTTCCTATTTACATTTTTCTATTAACGCTTGGTGGCCTAGCAACATGTTTGCTTCGTTTCCTTCTTCGTGGAAAGAAAAGGCAGAGAGGGATGGGGAGGGAGGAAGATGGGAAGAAAGATGGGAAGAGGGGACGATATGATTAATATTAATGGTGAGACGGTGAGCGTCAATCGAATTATGTATACGTAGTTATACGGAGGCTTGTTTACTCTAGGCCGTGTCTAACGAATCGATTCGTTAAGTCTTCTTGGATGGTTGCTCGTGGAAGGCGCTTTAACGTACATAACAGTTCTAGCGTTACTTCTCGGGTATACTAATCGTCTGAAAGGGTTCTGGCCTTATGAACGAGCAAAGTCAGATATTGGAACTGTAAAGGAATTTAAATATTATTCAACGTGGAATTTTATCAAATTAAAGCTAAAATTAAAATTTAAACTAAATTGAAATCTTTGAAATTCTTCTCCATTGGTAAGATTGATCAAATTCTTCTATAATTGTTCATCCTGTAAACCGAAGCTTATCGATGATATTAATTTTTCAGATTCGTTCATAACTCATATTGAAAAAAAGGAGCAACGAAAATAATGAAGGCATTCTTCGGTCAAGCTATCGGTCGGGCAAGTCGGTGCAAGAGCTCGAGGCTTCTAGAACAAAGTACATGAATAGAAATAATAATATTCAAGAAAGATTTTTGATTAATACCTTGATTAAATTTTTATTTTTCGAAACGTGGAAATTATTGATTGCAAATCTTTGAAGATGGAAATTTTCCGCCATTTTCCGCATTTTGGGGGTTGGACCAAAGGGATGCTGCGCAGATGTGATACTTTCATCTATACAGAGGGTAGAGCAATGCTCTGATTGGATCAGTATCCCCTGTTTCAGAGGGTTGTTACTTCCCTCTCCTTCAATCTAAATACTGGATATGGTGTATCCTCCATTTTATAAAATTGTGAATATCTGTACCAATATTCTTTGATATTCTATTAAAAATTCTTAACACATCAATTTCTCTAAAAAATAAATCAGTAGATAATTCAATAGACAATATTTAACTATAATTCCATTAACAGAAAGTAATATCAAAAAATTTCAAGAAGAAGTGTCATCTAAACAACCTCTGAGTAGAATCATCAATTGATAGAATTGAAAATCCTCTTCAAGCAAGGCTTGGAATTGATCTTTGGAGCCTGGACAGAGACGCAAAGATTCAGGGACGACGACTGCGCAGGATTTCTCTCTCGATGCGGCGTGTGTCGCGGCGGTGGCTGGCCAACCCCTGAGGGCAGCGGCAAAGGGTGGCAGAGGGTGCGGTCTTTCCTCGTAATCAATACCAGTGTCGGCTGGCCTCGCTCCTCGCCGTTCTCTCTCGCCGCCCACGCGAAATCCTGCAGACACCGGCTGCCACGCCACGAATTTTTCTTCTTGTCGTCACCGAGAGCCGCCGCCCCCTCTTATCGGCTTTTGTCGTCGCGTCGTTGTCGTGACGGCGTCTGTCCACCCTTTTCCCTCTTCTCGCCAAATAATATAGATCATTGTCGAGGAGTCGAACGATGAGTAGATTGTGTGCAAATACAATGGAACATCTGTAACTCGAACCTCAATTAAAGAAGAATCTTATTTAAAAGACGAAGAATTTAGAACTTAAATTATTTCGATACCTGTTTTGAAGAAACATGTGTATTTTTTATGTACATGTTTAAAATTCTCTATTATTGTATGCAATCATTCAAAGAAACGATATATCATTCGCAGTATATATATATGTCTACACTATGTATACATTACAGTTTGAAGAAGATTCAACGCACTTACATAGTCTATAAATACGCAAGACACAAAGCCAGAGTTGCAGAAATAAGAGAAACGCGAGCGAAGCGGGTGTTGGTTCTCCTCGAGGGCGCTTCCTGAAAGGCGAGCCGTTAATTGTATAAATGATTCTCACGGGAGGATCGTAATTATACCGCTCGCGCATTCCTTAGCCACAGCTCCAAAGGCAGCGAGCGTAAACGTAGATGCGTGAGAGTGCGTACACGCGAAACTCGGCCGTGTGTTGCTTAAATCATTAATTAGTGCCGCACGCGCTACGCTCCACCGTTGAAAACTAGAATTTCGCACGGAACCCCGCTTCGAAATGTTACCACAATGATTAAGCTTTGAATAATTGTCTGATTCTTTTGCTGTCGGTTGTATTCCGTTTAGAGTTGCAACATTATCTTTTTTTTTTCTCTTTATGTGACGTATAAACTTACAAACCTAATATAAATCATGTTATATTTTCACATGTACGTAGTATATATTCTAACCTCAATTAAATGGAATGAAAAGTCTTTTTAATACGTTTGAATTTTGAACACTGAAGCAGTCAAGTTTTGTGTTGAAAAACATAATGATTTTATATTTCTAAAAATAAAATTAAAAATTGGTAATCGTAATATTGTTTCGTTAAATAAATGTGAGAATATTCATGACGAAGATAACGCCGAATGGCGGCCGAATTTCTAACGAGTCATGCCGTGTCAAAAGGATCCGGCGTAAACACGTTCGCAATCATCAATGCTGCTCTCTCTATGAATTTTTTTCTTTTCTATTTCTCGTGCTAAATGCGTATTCTATTTGTTCCTTATGAGTAGGAGTTAATTTTATTGTAAACAGCCTGACAATGAAATATGCGGCGATGCGGCGTTGCCAAATAAACGACATACATATAAAAACGCACGAAAATTTTGCGAATGATTCGAATGAAAGAAGAAAAATTATATCGATATATTGAAACATATTTTTACAGTCTTAAAGGTTTTTCAAACTTTTGAAATATTTGCATCGCCATATTGAACATGGAAATGTCCATGAGCGCTATAATAAAAGAATTGCACTTTACCAACAGCGCAAAAATTATTTCTTGCGTAAATATTTGCTCCATCTTATAAATCATTAAAACTCTCTTTATTTTTACTCCTTTTGTTAGGGCTGCTTTTTATTCTGTGTAATATTCACACTTCTCATCGGCGATTTGCATTTGGTGACGCTTTCAAGGTGTTCTCTCTCGTGTTGACATTCGAATGCATTTCGCATCGTGGCTACGTGCGATTCTCTGCAATGTATCTCCGCGATTATTCCGATGTTGCATTGTAATGAACAAATCACACTTCACTGAGATTGCACAATCTGTTGGCGCCTACCGTCAACGAAATATCAATTTAATGAGAATGCATCTCTATATCTCAGGCTACTGACCGGCCAAATTGCCTAATAAAAAATTCTTATTCGTTAGTTTAAAACTGCTAAAAATAACTTAATAATATATTTTTTTTGTCTTATTTATTGAAAATTATATTTTGAATATTGAAAGAATATTAAGGAAAAATTAAGTTTTAACTCTGAGTATATAAAAAAATATTTATAATAATTATTTTATGTATATTTTTTTTATTTTTTAAAAATTTCATTTATGTAATTGTATCAACTATAATATTCATTCTAAACATATGAAGAAAATGAAGATTTAATATATCATGCGTCGATAAGATAGTTTCATAATTTTCTTCCTTATCACTTCAGTAACGAAAATAAGGATTACACAAAGAAAAATCGATAGATGGCGGGCAGGTTTAAATGACTGCCATGGTTTTCGGAAACTGTCGGTAGTTTTTATTTCGCGTATTCCGCGACTAAGGCAATTGGAGGGTCGAAATGTCAGAAATTCGATGGGAATCAACGAATGTGTGTAATGTCAGTTATAAGTGACGTATTAGCGCTTCCCGCGGCGCGTTCTTCACGCGAAACGATGCCAAGAGGATAAATTATGCCTCGAAAAGAGAACACGTAAGTGTCCATTAGCCAGCTTCTAACCTCGACCAGTTTATTAGCAAGATTTTCCTTCTCTTCGCGTCTTTTTCTCTGGAACAAGAATGAACAAACGTGTTTTCATTAAAAAAAAATTAACGGTCCGCTCGTTAACGTGGACATATTCTCAGCAAAGCGAAAACATGGGAGCGAGACAGAAGAAAACGTATGAACGCTTACTTCAAAACTCTGGCAGACCTTCTGCCGCCGCATCAGGAGGGTCGCAAACGCAACAAGGTCGACATCCTGATTCACGCATCGAAGTACATCAAAGACCTCCATAGCCGTACAGAGGAATTGTTTTCTGCTCATGCATCAGAAGCACATAGTAAGCAAATAACTTTGACAATAACCATAATTTCAAAATTTAAGTTTTTTTTCTTTATTTCTTTTAAAATATTTTTGAAAATATTTTTGATTACAGAGGAAGAATTGGCTCGTCTCAAAAAACTTGTAACTCAGCTTTTCTCTCGTACACAATTATTGTCTACTCTTTTACGAGAAGCTGGTATATCTGTTCCAGCAGAACCAGCTCTTGAAAAGATATCCCCTTTAAAATGGTCGAATAAAATTAATGTAGAAGATGCAGAAAAATATTTCAATAAAATAGAAGAAAGTAAAAATATTAAATAAGTATATATAACAAATGAAAAATAATTTTATTGAATTTAAATGTTTATAAAGAATGTTTGATTTTAGTAAAAAATTCTGAAAGCAAGAGGGAAAAGTCTGTAGAACTGAAAGTGCCTTCTAAGAGAAAATCAGTTACTTCTTCTCATTCATCTAACAAAAAAATTGAAAATAGCGATATTTCTAAGGATGTGAATAATTCCATAGAGAATCAAGAAAATCAAGCAAATTGTGTAAATAACAATGATGATATCTCAGATGCTTATCCTGTATCAGATATATTAGATACAGGATCTAAAGCAGCTGCAGAATGCCAAACAAACACAGGTATTTATTTCTTTTTATTTTAATGCAATTTGTTTTAGATATGAAAATATCTTGTATGATTTTCTTAATTAGGTTCTGATGCAACAGTTAGTTCTTCAATAAATGGGAAGACTAATAATGGTAAATATAATATTAACTATTAATTATATGTAATTAATAGATGTAAGTTAGAATTTTTTATTCCATTACTTTAAATCATAAAATATTGTTCTAGCATTAGAAAAAGTAGAATCTCAAAAAAAGATAAAAAGAAAAACAAAGAGGAAACAGGAGAAAAAATCAGTGACACCATGTATAAATAATTCCGTAACTAGTCTGACCCCAAATACCCTTATATTATCTGGTGGTAAGTTAATGCCTTTGGTAACTCCAATGACGTCGAATATAATTGTAAATACTCAGCAACAAGCAGCGAATCCCATAATACTCGGTAATGGTCAACAGAATCAAATGATTGTGATGCAATCTTTAACAAATCGTGTGCAGAATCCAGTTGTTTCCATTTGTAATCAAGCTGTGATTAATACAGTTCAAAAGGTTACACTCAATACGGTCCCTAGTATTCGTGCGAATATGGTAGTTGATTCGCAAAATTGGGCATCTAATGTAAAGAATATAATCAATGCAACAAAGATCGGCGGTCACAAAGGCATTCTGCCTAAGGGTAAGGAAGTTACAAAGACAACGATGACATATAAAGTTCCTATTCCGGCAGTTCACAAGGAAAAAGCAGAAAAATCTAAAGAAAATAGTTCTAAGAAGGATACAGAAATTAAATCGAAGATCAATAAGAATCATACAAAAAATTCTAAAAACCAACAATCTACAGATACTATTGAAGACAAAAATGACAAAGAAAAAAATGTTAAAACCGTTGAAGACACAAATTTTGCACAAAAAGTTGTACTTAAACGACCCGCAAATACAGAAACAGGATCTATAGATGAACCTGTTGATAAAAAACGAAAAAAAAATGAAAATAATGAACAAAATCCAGTGATTCTGAATTCAGTACCTGTATCAAAATCAGATTTTACTGTAACCTGTAAATCTATTGAAAGCTTAAAGCATGTAATAGAAAAGATAGGAGAGGACACAAACGAAGAACAGGATAAAATGCATTCTTTGATTCAATCAGAAGAAAATAGAGAAACGAATGTACAATGTTCTGTTTTATTAAATACGACTAGTACTAATCAGGAGGATGTTTCTAATTCTTCAAAACCAATAGATGTCATGACATCGAATAATATTCAATGTGAAATAAAAGAAAGTCAAAACACGTCAGATACAACATCATCTGTTAGTTTCCCAGAAGAACAAGTAAAATCTTCTAATGAAAATATTTCAGATTCTTCTGATACTAATTTCAACATTCCTATTGATAATACACTAGAAAAATCAAGTAGTTGCATAGATCATTCTAATTCTAATTCTAAATCATCTTTAGCGGAAGGAGGAGAAATTGAAAATTCTGTAGAATCTAAAAAAATGAAAGAAGTTTGTAATCTTGATACAGAATTCGACAATCTTTTACAGAATTCAGTGACATCAAAAGAGCCAGAGATTGTTGAAGGGACAAGTAACTTAGAAAGTAATAAGATTATTCTAAATTTAGATACAAATACAACAACAACTTTAAAACCAGAAACAAATACTGTAATTCAAAATTCAGACATCACAACGTCATCGTCATTACTTCCAGTTAACATAATAGAAGACGAATCTAAATTAGCAAAGGCATCAAAGGAGGAAGTATCAAAAACATCACTCTCATATAATACAGAAAATTCTTTTGTACCAATTAGCAGCAGAGCTGATGGTCTTCATTCTGATCTTTCAAATGATATATTTGCATCTCTTCAAGTTCCTTCTAGTTCACATAATCCAGAATCTATATCTCCTACAGCAGCATTCCTAATGGCTTTTCCATTAGTATCTTCACTAAATGGTAAAACAGAAGTTTTGGAGGAAGAAATGAAAGAAGATTTTAAATATCATAGTCAAACTCCACCCATGCTTTTACAGATTGGAGCAATGGAACCTAATAGTTTCAAGTTCAAGACAACATCTCCACCTCATTCTATCGCTGAAAAACGTTTAAAAATAACGTGTGAGGAAAAAAAAGTGGTAAATACTTCTGTAAACGAAACAGTAACCTCAAATATGATGGTCTCTGCAGAATGTACTACAGGCACGAAAGTATTGCCCAAAATTATAAACGACGAACATCTCAAAGAACCTTATAAGATTGTTCAAGGTGTGTTGGGCCCATCTTTGGAAAAATCTGCATCTTCTAG